CATTCACATTGCTGCCTGCAAACTCATTCATATGACAAGCTACTCTGTCGTCTCTTGGGCTGGATGAGCTCTGAGCAAGAGAGGAAAATCACAGTCAGCTGCTACTGATATTGCTGCTGATGCAACTGTAGGGAGGCCTGTGATTTGGCAGGGAGGAAACTGATAAACATTCAGAACTGACACAATCTTCTCTGCCGCCACTATTAGCAGCATCCATAATGGTCACTGATAATTACAGTGCCTGATGGCTTCAAAATGATTATTACCTCCCAGGGAGTGAGAAACAACTGCATGTTAACAGCTGATGAGCTTCTGGTCTAGTCTGGAGAATGACTAGCAGCTGCTCCAAACTGGCTTCACACCAACAGTTTTTGACAACCCACTGGAGAACAGTCCAAACCACCAGACATAGCACAATGAAACCTTTACAGGTAAAGGCAAAGAACAAAATAGACTGTGGATCTGGGTTTAGCATGGTAGTAACCATACATATCAGAGACATGACATTGGAACAGGTTGCCCACAGAAGCTGTGACTGCCCCATGCCTGGCAGTGCTCAAGGCCAGGGTGGATGGGGCTTAGAGCAACCTGGTCTACTGGAAAGTATCCCTTCCCTTGGCAAGCAGTTGGAACAGGATGAGCTTTAAGGTCCCTTCCAACTCAAACCATTCTGTTATTCTATGAAACTCAGCCTCTGTATTGCTCCTCTCACTCTACTGGCCTTCAGTTGGAAGTCTGAACTTCTCTAGTCTAAGAATTCAATTTAGTGGTGAAAAAAATGAAATTTGATAAGACATGCTCTCAGTTACAAGCTGATGCTAAAATATCATGTACTTTGAACACTATGAATTGTTCCAGTACAGTGTTGGATTGTTTTCAAAGCAGACAGGATTTCTGTGGTGGGTCATGTTTGTTTCACAATTATCCTGTGAGGTTTCAGTTCACAGGTAACTACATACGTTTAATCTTAGTCCTGCAAAAAGCAATTTAAGGGCACAGTTTGGCAGAACATTCTCCCTCGCTCTCACATAGAGTTCTCTTTCAAAAAAATTATCAGTGTTTTGTAAATAATGGAATACATGTCATGTGATGGTGAGAATTATCATCTATGTTGTCTGTATTTTCAAACACTTATCCATTAATGCAGGAACAGAAATGCAAGGCAAGACGACCAGAGATGGTCAGACAAATGGAGACACTTTCTTATAGCATCTCTAGAGTTCTGAAAAAAAATCTTGGGCTAACTTATCCTTTTCTTCTTATATGAGAAGTTCTACATATTTTTTTCCTTCTTCTCTACTAGTAGAATCAGAACTGAAATTATCCTTTTATCAAAGAAAAAGTAGAGTTAGCAAAGGCCTTCTACTCTGTCTGACAACCTGATTGTAGCATAATCACTAATACCCAAACTGTCCTTTAAAGATGTTCATCTAGTCTGTCCTTATCTAATCTGTCCTTAAAAAACAGTGTCTGTTAGCAACCTATTTTCAAACCTAATTACTGCTGCTGTCTAGCCACTCCCTCTGAATGCCATCTCTTCTCTGGCAAGAACATTGCCACCTTGCATTGTTTGCCCTGTGCTTTTTAATTAACCCGTATCCCACAGAGCTCACCAGAGCTTCTTTCTCTGTCATGTCAGCAATGCAGTTTTTAAGTTTTCTAATTTTTCACACATTTGTAGGCTCCACTATTGTTATACATCGATTTGATTGTTACTATCTTTTTAAATTTTATTTATTCCTTATTTATTTTCCCCATTCCTGACAGTTGCTATCCATATTAGTGGAAATGTCTGCAGAGGTTTACACTAGTTTCTTGCTTGGATACATTTCAGATTTCTTCTCTAACTTAAATTCTTCAAGACTTCATGCTGTCTATATAACTCACTTTAACTGCTTCTTGCAATTCACCATGCTCCTTGCCGTACACCGAACATCCCTTTGAGATCTGTATTTTTCCTCACTATATTTTCCTGTTCTCTTCTGTAAGTTCTTTAATTTGAAATGTCTGTTGTCCTTCACTGAAAGCATTTTATTAGCCCTTCATGAAATTCTTGAGAACCAATTTTTTCTACAACTATTTTAGCAGTACTTAGCTCATGATTCTCTTTGCTGTTCATACCTGCCTACGAGCATCTCAGGACATTTCATCTTGCAGGAACATTCTGGCTACAGTAGAACCTCATGCATGGCTAGGTCTTGAGCGAATAACTGCAAAATTAATACTTCAAGTCCTAGCCTATTAAAGTCATTTGTCTTTCTTTCCATGTTCTGGAAAGAGAGACACACCAAATGTGAGGGAACATTTCATTTAACCTTGGCTAGAGCTACCAGTGGTTTCAAAAGCATTTAATTTTTAAAGTTCTTTCTCAATTGTATGATGGTATCTAAGCCTTTCTCTGACTTCCAGTTTTTAAGGTAATGGTTCTACACTGTGGTGAGCACCAGTAACTGAAGAATCAACACACATTTCTCCAAAGATTGTAAGATAACCCTCTACCATGGTTTGTTGGTTCTTTGTGTATTCAAGGTATTTCTAGGGCAGGCACATAACCTTTCCATTAAACAATGATGGAAGTTCAGGTGAACTTTAATAAAGTCTAGTTACTTTGCAGCTTTGGGAAAACAGCTAAGATACACACTGTAAAGACTAAGTGAAAATAAATTAACAAAAAACTCCTTCAAACTGCTTTATTTACAAGTTTTCATGATGAATATACAAGCCAAGGGGCAGACAGGTCCCTTCCTTTGTGACTTACTGATAGCTATAGTAGCTCTGTCTTAAAAGTCTTACCTCGTGCCAAGACTCTGGCAACCTTTCCAGTGCTAATATCTAAGCTCCTCCCTCCTGCTGGTGGACTCATTCTCCCTCTTTTCATTTCATCTTTACTACTATTTCTATTCCAGCTTCTCCAGTTTGGGGGTCAGAATTCTATGATTCACTTTTAGTCAATCAAGTAAAACTTTGAGAGAAATATTTTTACAACTCATAATGGTCACAGGAGAAAATCTCCCTCAGAATCATCATTAACCAAGATGTCAGTACTTATGTCCTCCTGGATCTTCACTCCCTAGACAACAAAAGTCGCAGCAACAGCATGAGTAGACCTCACTCGTGTGTCAGTGACGGTATGGTCACAACAGTACAGAACTCACAATGAACAAGTTTTTCTACTGCTGTCTATATCTCATCTTTTCTTTAATAATAACATTAACAGTAAATCCAGGTCCTTTCTAATTTTACAACATTCTGTACTAAAAGAATCAAAATTCCAATTCAGGACTAGATCTGAATTTTGTCTTCAAGGCAGCTGTCTCCCAACAGCAATAGCCACTACTCCACAGCAAAGTCACTGGCTTAAGAAAGAAAATAAAACCACTATAAAATGCTCTTCTGAAGTCATTACTGACTACAAAGTCATGCTGGAATGTACCGCATACCAACCAAAACATATTGTAGCTATAGTCTAATACCTTGCTAAGCCACTAAAGAAACTTCCCTGTGGGGCATATGTGAAGTTTGACATACTTTTTGTAACTATGCTGAAGAGTAGATGATGGGGTTTTCTGCTACGCCTTACTGTAAAAATGCACTACTCCCAGAGTCAGGGTAGACCCTGCTTCTTTAGGACGTTCCTGGCAGCTCATGAAAGGAGAAATCAGTTGAGCAGGCGGTAACCAAATAATTATAATACTCATACAGCATACAGACTTGGACCAAGCCAAGGTTTTAAACACATCTCAGACTTACTTTATTAGCCCACACTACCCCTGCCCTTTCTCTAAGGCTTTATGCATATACCTGATTTTAGCAAGAATATTTTGGTACAACAGACAGACAATTTTAGAAAGAAAAGCAATGAGAATGCTTCAGCTACCACTGATGCGCTGGGAACTGCTCAACACACCCATTCACAGCCCGTCAGTGCCGCAACCATTCCAGAAGTATCCACTGCTGCTCAAACAAATGCTGTTCAAATATATTTACTGTACACATGCACACAGAGCCCTTGGGTGACAATGGCCATGAAAAATGTATTTTGTTAGACTTCTGGCACCGATGAGTAGAAAAATTATGTAGAAGGATAATTGTTATCCCTAACCACAAAATGCCTCAAGGCAGTTGCTGTCGCAGGGAGAGTCTGTTAAAAGCATGGCCATTTCCCTCAAGCATGGTTGAGACTGCACCATGTGAAATTTCAAAAGCATTTTGTCATTTTGGACATATATCCCCTTCTCCCCCCACCCCCCCATTAATATTTCATTTTCAAATACAAGTGTTTGAAGCAAATAACCAAGCCACAGAGAGTTAATTGACAAACAACTGAATTTTTCAGTCACTACTAACCCTCTTTGTTCCAAAATCTCATCAGTCAACCCCAACAAAACGGTAGGAAGTCAGAAGCAAGCAGCCTTGGTATAAAAGTTCTCCAAATTTCGATCACAGATCACTGCAGTTTTGCTTCTGTTCAGCAAGGTTATGCCCAAATGCAGTACAGATTAACTGTTGTTTCAGTCCATGTAAACTAAAGAATGAACTTCTTGTATGCCAGGGGGGAGAAGCAGAGGCTGTGTGTCCATCCCCATTCATCACAATCCCCCCCCCACCCTCCACCCCCCCACCCCCCCGCTTTTCTCTACTGCCTGAGATGGGGCTGTGGGAGCAAACTAAGTGTGTAACAGCAGTTACGCTGTCAAACAGAGGTTTACCAGCACTGGTCAAAATCAACTGATGTACTTTTGTGCTTACCTTAAACTTAACGATCTAAAATTCATTTTTTATAGATCTGGGATTGCCCTTTACAAGCAATACATAACTGTCTAAGGTTGTTACAGACCAGCACAGCTGAGCTTACAGTTCTCAAACATCTCTTGTAACTCTTACAAATAATAAAACTTTATACAGGAGCAAGAAAGCTGTTAGCTACCTAGCAGAACTCTTGCTGTCAGAAACATAAACTTGTTAGCAACCATAAGTGTTTTAATTCATAAAAAACTTACGTGTTTCTGTCAGACAAAGCTTCAGCAAACACAATCCAAAAATTGCCCATAAGGAGAAACTGGCCATTGTTTTCTCAGAGCTGTTTTGCAAAAACCAGAGATCCTTGGAAGCTGCACAAAAAGGAAAAGCCTCGACGCTCACTGAGCCTGCAGTCAATGAGTCTGAAGTTTGCTGCACTTTTTATTCTGATTCAAAGGAACTGAAGTAATGACATAACTGGGAGGGGGAGCTCCATCAAAAGTTACACCCATATTGCAAAAAAAAAAAAATGGGTGTGACTTCAATCCAGCAGTGGAAGAAGGGGGTGTAGGAGGGGAGCCAGTACTGACTAAGCAGCCACACTGGAGTTTTAAAGAGGCACTATGCCTCCTCGTCTTACACAAGTAGAGTCAGAGGTTATACTTACTGCACTTGCAGGAAAGTTTGTGTAATCTCTTGTGACTTAGCTCAGAAAGGCACTGCTTCTTATAAGCTTCCCCTCTTGCATCTTACAATCTCCTCATTGTTGCAAACTAGGTGAATATAAAGCACTAGAGTTTCTAAAGCCCAACAAAGCATCTAAAACTGACTGGATGTTTCCCCAAAATATTGGTTATTTTGTCCCATCTCACTGTTTTCTCTTTTTTGCTGTTTAATTTAGAGCAAGCAAAATGCTTGCTCTGCAATGAACCTTTTTAAAATGTATATCTTCCTTTCCTGGAGGATAAACTGCAGAAGGTAAATCAAGGCAGTTCAGTCTCCCACAGCCCATTCCGCCCTTGGCTTCTCTGCACAGGGTGCTCCAACAAATGCCAGTGTCAGCAGGGACAATGAGGACTAAGCTTGGTATTTTATTGTATTGATGGTATAAGGTGCAGAAGGAATTACTCCTCCTATTCACAATTCACAAAGCAGAGAAACAGGATGAGAACGTACAGCAGTCTGACATTCAAACAACGTGTCAGTTCCCAAGGGACATACATTCATTGCGGTGCGGGGTTTTGTGTGACTCTAGATGCCACATGAAATCCGTGGTGAAAACCTCAAAACCTGTTTAGGCAAGCAAAAGTCACGTCTGTTCCGTACCTTAGCCATTTCTCGCGGTGTCTCCACACTCAGGCCTCTCGACGGAGCTGCAGAGTTGTGACAGTGGTTTGTGTGCCCCGAAATGGTTAAGGATCACCAAAGCCAGCACATCTCACCTTTAACAACCAGCATGTGGTGATGACTGGCAGCCAGTAATGCCCCGATTTCAGTTTCCCTCAGCAAATTTGAAATGAGTAGTTCTATATCAGATTACCATTTTGTTGATCCTCCCACTTGAAAGAATTTTCTCATTAATTTTTAATCTCTGTTAACACAAACAATGGAAAAATACAGACAGGTCTTTCCAGTCACCGGCACAAGAACTTTACACAAAGAGGTTTTCAGGACTTTGCCTTTTCTTTGACTCTTGACTTACAGATGGCTGGCTATCCTTTCCTCAACCAGCCAAATTTTTACCAACAGGTTCCAACAGGCTTTTCCTACAGTCTACGATATCTGATGGGACATGGTTAAAGTGAAAATATTTCCTTTTTATTAAGAAGCTAGCAGCTTTGAAGTTACAGATAAAATATGTTTTATTTAGTGAATATGCTGGTTTTTCTTTTGAAACATATGGCTTTAAAAGAAAGGAAAAAAACATCTCCTATACATCTTGACATTAGTAGTAGTGGAAATGAAATAGTTCTGCCAGTACCTGTATGCTTATAGCTATAGATATTTTGCCATTGAAATATATGAATGAAATTTAGTGAGATTTGAAGTGCTGGTGCACAGTTAATGCATATTTTAAGTTCAAGAAACATAACCTTTTCTTCAATTGCTAAATTACTTATGAAATTCACCTCTATGGATGAAACAAAAGAATGGAATATTCCATTAAAATTTGAGTCTTATTTCCTCGATGAACATAAAATCCCTCTCTATGAATGTCCTGCGTTCTGAATTATATGGAATGCAAATACGTTTTCTTTGGCACAGGCAAATGAAGGATAATGTCCATTTCTGCGGTGTGGGCAAGTATGACAGAGGCAAAAGTTTGATTTTACCAGGAGTGGAAAGTCCTAATCTTTTCATGGTCTGAAGTTTCTAATTCTAGCCCTTCTGACACCAGCTTATGAGCAGGCTGTTTTCTCAATACTGAATATTATTTGATATACTTCTTCTCAGTAGTTCTGCATATGCTTGGTGGGGGTGGGTGGTATTCCACTTTGGAAAGACTCTCTTGCTTGTTGCCCTATAAACATGGGTTAAGATTAGGTATGTTTAGACTAGGTGCATGGAATTGCTAGTACCTAATGTAAAAGGAAGACAGATGTATACAAGAAAAATTGTTCATTACGGTAGGTCATTTCCTGGGATAAAATATGGAAGTAATTAGTGAAATGTATGCATATAACATGTAAGTTTGTCCATTTCACATACCACCTGCCTGCTTACACACCAGCCTAGGATTTTGTCATGGCTTAACCCCAGCAAGCAACCAAATACTATGCAGCAGCTCGGTTGCCATCAGCAGTAGGATGGGAGGAGAACTGGAAAAAGGTAAAACACATGGGTTGAGATAAGAACAGTTTAATATTTGAAATAAACTATAACAACAGGAGTGAAAGAGAGGGGGGGAGGGGGGAAGAGAGAGGAATAAACCTCAAGAAACCAGTGATGCACAGTACAATTGCTCACTACCCACTGACCGTGCCCAGCTCATCCCCGAGCAGCAATCTGCTCCCCCAGCCAACTCCCCCCAGTTCATATACTGGGCATGACGTGCTGCGGTATGGAATACCCCTTTGGCTAGTTTGGGTCAGGTGTCCTGTCTCTGCTCCCTCCCAGCTTCTTATGCCCCTCCTCATTGGCAGAGCATGAGAGACTGGAAAGTCCTTGATTAGGGTAAGTGCTACTGAGCAACAATTAAAGCATGGGTGTGTTATCAGCATTATTCTAAAGCCAAAACACAGCACTGAAGCAGCTACTAGGGAGAAAATTAACTATATCCCAGCCGAAACAAGGACAGATGCACACTTGCATTCCAACACACTGAATACTTCAAAGAGCTGGCATTAATAAATAAAAAAAGCTGACAAAAGTATTTCCTTCTTTCCCACCCAAACATGGAATTTCTCCCCTAAAAGATGCTGGCCTGCGGTAGAGAGCAGTCAAAATTTAGTCTGGGTGCAAGACCTGATTCTACCCAGGAAACTAGTCAAAGGAAATGTGCAGCTCTGAAGAAAGATTTGTTTGTTTGTTTTGGAGGTTTCCTTGTGAGAAATACATAACTTTTCCTTTAATTTGGGATAATCTTAGTCTGTAGGAACAGAAAAATCCTAAAGCAAATCTTCAGCTGAGAAAATGCAGCAGAGCAACACTTTAAAATGTGCCTATCCATTTATTCCCATTATGGATTTGTTTCCATGACATGATTGTTAACAACACAAATCACACAGTTAAATGTTCGAGAGTTTGTAATTTGCTCACTCCCTTGGCAACAAGCAGTTACATTACTGGCACTAGAAATTTGTAAAATAATTAATGGTACCAAATATATTAAATTTTCAAAAGACAACTAAAAATGATAAACCTCCAGCACTTAAATTTCTGTGAAGCCTTTGATATAGCGGATACTGAAACTATGATGGTGTAACATAATACAGGAACACCAAAATAATTCACTTGTGATTTTATCACATATATGAACTGTAACCAGCACCAATTAATTTTGATAAAAATCCTATTAGGGAGTACACATGTTGGAGCCCTAGAAAAAGAACATGCATGGCTTACAGCAATATAAAGAGATGTTTTGGGGGGAATCCTCATAGAGGATGAAAATCTGGCCTAGATGAAGTTAAAGGCCAAAATGTAACTAAATTCACTGCGACTGCCTCTCCCTATAATGTTTATGTATTTGGATTTGTTATGTGGACAGACCAGAAGGTGAGCATACCTGAACTTGTGATGAAAAAAATGACACCAATTGAGGTTGGTTTCACTATCAATTGGGAACAACTGAAAGGGTGGAAGAATGAAATTTTGTTTCTGCCAAATTAGCTGTCATTTCCATTGTAAGAAAAAAAAACAAACCCAAATAAACAAACAAACAAAAAGCAAACCACAGAAACTTTAAAAAACAAGCTCTTAATTTGAAAAGTTTGCCCCCCCTATTATCAGCAGAAAGCCATATATATATATAAAAACCCTTTTCTGAACATATTTTGGTGAAAATTTCAAGCTTGTTATGGGGAGTTGAAGAAAATAGTCTTGGTTAATATAAAAAGCACAAATCTCATCAGGTAATGCTGGCCAGGGCAGCATGCATTCTGCATGTTCTACAGCTGGTCTGTGAGACTGGCTGGAAGTCAGATTTGGGGGAGGAGGGAGGATTTTATAGCCATTTAACTGTAATCTCACTAAGATATAGTATTTTTAATAAGATTTCCTCCTGTGTCCCTAGACTGCAATCTTGTTTCCTGCATTTCAGACCAGATTTAGTTTCCATGATTAACCCTGAAACCAGGTTATGTCATGGAAACAGCCATAGTAAATCAGCGTAGCAAATCCTGTGCTACACACTTTTCTTGGGCACTGAGTGCTGGTCGGAAGGCATAAGAAGAGCCCGTGCTGGTTTAAGCCAGAAAAGCTACTCTTTTGGCCGGAGGGCAAAGCACTCCCTTGGGAAGTTGGGCACCCGGTTCTTCTCCCATCAACCTTTTGTTCCTAGATGTAATTTACAGCCTGCGTCCTGCAGAGAGTTAGGAAGATGAACAATGGCTCTTAGTTGTTTACTTCTGAAAAAAGCAGCAACCCAGATTGGCACCTACCATGTGGATTCATCAGCCTGTTTTACTGGTTTGCCCCAGATCCCTAAACAACTCACTAATCCGATACAGGCAAGAATCTTAACAGCCAGAATCACTCAAGTAGACCACAAGAAACCCTTCGCAGTTTCTCCTGCAGCAGACCATGTGGCCCCATCAAACTTTCTTATTCCTCACACCTTCCCAAAGTACTCAATCCCCAGCTGACTCCTGGGGCTTCCACCAGAGCACAGGCAGGAAATCAGTACCAGTCCCCACTGACAACTTTCACACCACTGTACCCAGTCAGTTATTACATGGCTGTCAGAAATGGGGCAGGAAACCTGCACACGGCAGCTGCCACCAGATGTCCAAGCATGCAGCACAG